TTGATGGTTTTGCTGGGCTATGCAGGAAGGATTTATTTCTTCATCTAAATGTTTGCATATCTAATAAAACTTACTTGGCATGTATGTTTGGGACAACGGATGCTAGGTTTTCAAGGGCAAATTTTCAATCCAAATCTAAAAACTTAGTTTTGAGTGTCACATTTGTCCAGAGAACTGGAACAGGCTTTGTGAACGAAGTGCTGAGGTGAGGCCAAAAAAAACCCTGGTTCTGAATATCAGATAGTTTCTAGTGTTACAGGAAAGGAAAGGGAGACTCTCAGGAATTGTGGTTTTCTACAACTGTTGGATATTTCATAGAGGGGAGCTGAACTCTGACCAGTATTTGGGAAGGAGGTTTGCAGTGTGGACCTAACCTAGCACAACCGTGAGCCGTGACAGTGCTTGGGACTGTCAGTGTATACTCGTGATGGAGATTGTGTTCCTTCTTAGAATGTCAGGGTTAAAATGTGATCTGTGTTCTTGTAACTATACTTTGTGTTTGGTATGGGAAGTTGACTCCTGCTATAATCAGGAAGACATTGTCAATTCCAAGGCGATTACCATTGCTGCCCTTTCCTTTCCTCCGTATTTTTCATCTTTTTCTCTCCTCCCTTCCTTCCTCCTCCAAATTTCCTTTTTTTGTACTGTGAGCTTTATGAAAAAAACTGGCAATGCAGAATTGGTATTTCAAATTGATGGAAAACTCAAGAATGTGAGATAGTACTAGATTCATCATATTTGGTTAGCTGTTTCTGCAGAGGAATTTTGAAGAAAAGTAGTTAACATCTGAATATCAGTATCCCTAAAATTTTGAAGATATGTGGTTAGATCTATTATCTTTCTGCTGCTTTTATTCCTTTTCCAGCTTTTGCATTTTTAAAGAAATCATTTTAATACCATTCATTCTTCAGTCATTGGAGGTCACATTTTCCCCCACTTTTTTAAAAAAAGAAGTTTTTACGATTACAGTATTGTAGATGAATGCTGTCTATAACCAGTAGAAATGCTTCAAAGCTGATTGAAAGGAGGACACTAGGCTTTCTGAAATGCTTTCTGATCAAAAATGAGATGTGGAAGCATCCAACTTGTTTTAACAATGGAAACTCCTTTTTTTTCCTGTGTAAAAATAGATCACAGTGCAGTGACCCTAGAGGGAGAGAAAGAATGAAAAAGATGCGTGTTTCTCTCAAAATTCTGACTACATTGTTACAGTCTGTGTCAAAGGATGACAAATCCGAATTGCTCTGCTTCCTGTGTTCTTTGAATTAGAGTTTAGTGTGTGTTACACTATTTTGACCTCTTCAAAATGTTGTAATTTAATTAGCTGATTTCCTTTTCCCTCTCTAGCCCATTTTGAAGTGTGGGGCAAAAATAAAAGAACATACTAACTGGTATTAACCAATGGAGATTAAAGACTATCTGAAGTGGCTAGAAAAAATTCACTACCCAGTCACTAATTTAGAGGCTTAATGCTTGCTGGGGTATTTGCCCAGCTGCACCTGCCTTATCAACCTGTTCAACTGTGAATTAGTTAGCACAAAAAGTTGGCAGAGTAACAGGGAATTTTTCACCTGAAGGTCAGTAAAAAGGCAGGCTAATACTGATTTAATGCTGTTATGGTCTGGTAGTTCAGCATGAACGTGACTCTATATTGCCATCAGTTGACACACGTCTACATTCAAAAAAACACTTTCCTAAGTGATGTCCTCTTTGCAAGAACATCAAGTAGCAGGCACCTGCCTTAGCTGGCAAAAAGTTAAGTGTCCCTGGCTAAGCTGGTTGTCTAGGCTTCCTCTGTAACTGTGGGGAGAGGGATTTTCAGAGTGATTCATACAGTTCTAAGATGTGTCTAAAATAGATGAGATGACTCATCCGCTGGAAGTACCTGCCACTCTACTGACGACAGAGGGAGACCTAGATGACTAACTTACCGTAGATAGCTAAATTTTGGACTGGTAGTTAACAGGAGAGAAAACTCAGTACCAATGTATTTTTCTTTCAATGAAAAGAGGTTCAAGTATGCAGTCTTTATGAAGGAGTCTCTATGACCACTGATCATGCAGTATATGTGGAAAAAGAGATGGACCTGCACTGCTATCCTCCTGTATCTTTCATAAATTGTTGGTTTTATTTCTTGCTAAATTAATCTATATCAAGGTGAGGGAAAAAAAGACATTTTTTACCTTAAAGATCCCACTGGAAAGGGATAAGTGTTATTTACTTTAAATAGATCTATGAAGCAATGAGCATGATATTTATTCTGCATAAATTTTCATTATTGAAATTGCTTTGTATTGAAATCACTTTGTATTTATACCGGTGGTATTGGATGTAAAATTCATTAGGCAGGGTGTAACAGATTGTTAGCATGTATTCACTTAAATACAGCATGGAAATCTGCAGTCTGCAGGGCATTAACTTCATTGTCAGCTGCTTCAGATGCACTTTTTTGGGAGAAGTTACAAAAATTAAGCTTTAAACTCATTAATATTTAATTTAAACCCATCACTTGCCCGATTTGAAAATTTTTAGGTCTTAGGGAATATTCAGTAATTATTCACCACATTTGATTTTAGATACCAAATTAGGTTTCTAAATAAGGAGTATAGGCACCGTTTGTTATCAGCAAAGTAGAATTGACACCTCCAGGGAACACTTGAGAGCAGCTAAGGTAAGCAGGAAGGTAGTGCTCTGGTTGCCCTCCAGAGGACTTCTGCTGCTGCCTAACTTGAATCCTCTGAAATAATCACTGAGATACTTATTTATCCCTCTATATTTACTGTGCAGGAAGCCTAGTCTGGTTCTGTAGGCTGTTGAAGTGGGCAACATGAATATTCCCCTTGCTGTTCTCTATCGTAATTCTTAGGTTAGTAATACCTTGTCGACCCAGAGTGCAATATTTTTCTGAATGTATTTGGAATATATTTCTGAATGTGAGGCGTGCATTAGAAGTGCCTGCTGCATGGTTAATGTACGTAGTAAGCTCAGCAATGTTAATGAAGTAGCTTACAGCGTAGAGGTGTGTATGTAGTCTATGTAGCATGCTGACTTCTGAATTATATTCTTGTGGCTTGATTAACTGAGCACCCCTGGATGTCCAGAATAATCAGCAAAATCAATTTGGTTTTCTCAGAAAATTTGCTTTCATTTTGGGTGCTCTCTAGTTGAACCATAAACAGTTCTAACCTCTACTGTGTCTGCAAGGCCCTGAGTAGCGAATGCTGCTTGGCACAGACACTGTAAGGCCTTCTTCACCTGCCCTTACATTCAGAGTCAGAACACAGTGGTTTGGATCAAACAGCACAATGAATTGTTATATTTTTTTGTTGGTCAACAGCTGTTTTACCTAAAGCAGTACACTTCTACTGTAGCTTTGAAAGTATAAAACACTGGTTATATATTTCTTTATGCAGATTGTACAGGGCTTCGAAATTCAGGGTGTTAACTGATTTGCTACAGTTTGAAAAATAATCTACAGAGTTTAGGAATGTATTGTCATGGTAAGTTGAGATCTGTGGATTTTCCTTTCATTTAATATGGAAGCCCAAGTTTATGCATAAAGCACAAAATCAGTGAAGGGTGAAGAGAAGTCATGAACACAAATCAGCCTTGATTAATCTTCATTACACACCTGGAGAAAAAGCACAATATAGGATATTGCATTAGCACCTGGAGGAGGAGGTGGAGTTTCCAGACTTTCAGGAAGAAAAGCAGCCAAGTTATAAAAGACAAGCAACAGCTGTGCTGTACCCTGGGAATTGTCTCCCAGTGAAGGAGTTTAGGTGATGAAATCACTTTAATATGGTAGCCGTAAGACACAGTGAATGTTTCATCAAAGACAATAAGCAACCTTGAATCTGGTGGATAAGTTCAAATTCTGTTCTTTGGTAATTCTTCTTATAAAAGACAAAGGAAGGTAAAATTGCAAAGGACACAAGGGTGTATCCAGGGGAACAAGAACATCATTCATAGTCGCCAGAGTTGTTTGATGAGGCTCACTTGCTTGATACCTGATAACAAAGAAAGCCAATCTGTCACTGTATGGTTCCATAAAGAAGATTTGTCTATAATAGGGAGCATTAAACAGGGTAATGGAAATTACTTGAGTAGCTACTGAATTAATTTTCATTTTAAACATACTTTAAAGATAACTGGCTGGACAGCATTGCAAGTTCTGTATCTGAGTGCATCCATTAAAAAAAAAACTGTGAGAAGTTTGCTGGTTTTGAATATAAACTTAGTTGTGCTGTCAGCTAGCATCTCATTTACCTGGAGCAAAACTTTAAGTGATCCATAATATAGATAGACTTCATTGTAGACTCTCAAAGTCATTACCTCATACAAACTGCTTTTATTTAATAGAGCAATGTAATTGTTTCTCTAGAGCGTGATGAGAGTGATTCATTATATTTGATCATTTTCACACCAGAAGAATACTGCTGTTACTAGCTCAGAAGACTTTTTGGCAAATCAAAAGGAGACTGCTAGTTTGGAGCATTTCTCTGTCAGTTTGAAATCCCCAAGCTGTAGCTTCAAGCTCAGCAGTAAGTGCTTTGCAGTAGTACCAAGAGAGCTGAAATAATCAACAATAGAAACCTTTTATCTCATGTCTGAAATCCATAGATAGAAAGAGAATGTATATATAAATATTTCTCTTTAATATTTCACATCATACTTCCACTTAAAAAGTTTAAAGTTCTTTCACTGAGAGTGGACGTAAGCTAAGCCAAGCCACAGGATTAATCATAAATAATTTACATGAACTCCCTCAACTAAGATATCCTGCAATTTCATAAAGAATGAACACATGTTCTGAGAATACATAAGGGTTGCTATAATTGGCTCACTTTAACACGCCTGGGAACAGCACATGAAGCTGCTGTTGCAGTTTTTCTGACATAGCTGCTTATATTGCTCACTGTCCACAACAATTAAATGTTCATTTTTCTCTGTTTTCTTTATTCTTTTTTTTTTTTTTCCTCAAAACTGCATCCAGATTAAGAAAAAAAAATCTGCTAAAAATTCTGAACAATGTTGACTTATGAATGCTGTAGAACAACTGTTGCTTCAATAAACAGGATTAGTTTTGGATTACTTTTTCTACAAGGACTCTGGAGCACTGCCTTACTCCTCCTTGCTGTGGAACGTCAACCCCTTCAGATCTCCATGGTTATCTCACAGAATGAAAAGTAAAAGCATTCTGGGATGATTACATAAAAACATGTAAAGGGTAAGTGCAAACTAAAAAACTGTATTTGGGGAATAAACATCACATTTTCAGATGGCTGACTTTGTGTGTGTGGCTGGAGAGGTGAATAGAAGACTTAAGCTGTGCGGCATGGAATAGGCCTTGATTTGGGGAAGATAAAGAAAAGGCCTAACTGATTTATTAGTGTGCCTTTTGAACATATACCTACCAATTTGATTAAAGCAGCGAGAAATTAGCTGGATTGTATTTGTAAAAAGTGGTTTAATCATTAAACTTAAACTTTACTAAAATAAAAAGTATTCAACATTCCTAAACAGCTGTACAAAAGTGATTTAAGAGCATAGTTAAGGCTAGGCTTGCATATGGATGTGCATACCATTAAAGCTGGGGAAGTGTGGATTTCTGCCATGTTCTGTAAATGTAAGATACATAAATTAGAATTGCTTAGGGATACTGTTCCTTACATGAATCACTTCTCCAGTCTTTAATTTATGAATAAATGTGCTTGGTGTGACTACTCTTGTCTCACACTGATCTCAAATGGCAGAAAATATCCTGCATGCAATGGTTTGCAGATATATAGTATCCATGAGATATGTTTCTCAACGTTGATTGCATTTATTTTATGTTTACAGAAAATTTAAAGCTGGGAGGACTGAAATACGCCCAAGAGAGGTATAATACTGATGTAGAAAAATAGTCAGAGAAAATTAGGATGCAGTTCAGAGACAACTATTTAGGTGTATTTCTTACCTAAAATATAATATGAGGAATGGACAGTGGTACTTAGGTTGAGCATGAGTCAACAGTGGTGTGTTACTATAAAAAAGTAAACGTGCTGGGGAGACATGACAAATATAAAATATTTAAAAGAGTTGAAAGAAGAAAGAGAATAAGCTGTCCTGTGGGCTAATGGGAGTAGGAAAATATAAAATGGGCTTAAATCATAGGAAAATTTCAAGCTAAATATTATTGTTACATTATTTTTGCTAGGAATTTTGAAAGCAGTGGGACTGCTTGTTTATGAGGTGGTCGGACAAATATCTGTCAGAGATAATAGACACTGCCTTGGGACCAGATACATAATTTTCTGGTTCCTACCAGCTCTGGGCTCTTATTCAATAGGGTAATAAAACTTCACAAATAGTTTCATGCAAATATGTGTGAAGATACAATTCAAAGAGAGTATAAAGCCTTTGACACTAAGCACTGCATGAGATATGCAGGTTTTCTCCAACATAGTATCTACTTCTGGTTTTGGTGAAATAGTCAAGCTTCTAATTTAGCTTTGATTTTATATTGTCATCTCAGTAACACCCCTTCTTCACAATATCTCATCCCACCCACAGATCCCTGTATCAGAATAATACCTTTTCCACCTTCCTCCTCAGTAGGTTGGGACAACACAGAAAACGAAACGACACCATGGACAGCAAATTCAATTTAAATTGACAATATGATGCTATTGTTGAAAAGCCACACCTTTTTCTGTGGTACATTAAATAAATATCATATGTAAAGCACTGGAGGTATGTGATCTGTGTGGTGTTAGCTGGGCTTCTAGAGGGTAACACACCATTAAAGAGAATACAGAGGACAACAACAAATACAAGCACAGTAGAAAATACAATCTGTAAGAGAGAGCAGAATGCAGTGTAGAAATGAGGAGTGGAGAACACTGCCTCCCACTGAGGTGCCTGACTTACACTTTACCTGTATGTGTTTAGTGAATAGTATTTAGTGTTTAATGAGATGTATATGTATATATCTGTGGATATAAAGAATCTCTTGATGACAATTAACTCTTCCAGTCTGTAGAAAGCTGTTACAAAGGCAGGAGCTGCCACTTGAGCAAGAGGACAGCAATTTAAATATTTCCCAAAACCTATATTCAAGAAGACCTTCTGCCTAAAGCAAGACAAGCTCTATTATTACTGTTTCTTTAACATACTTGTTGTAAAATTTTTGAAGTAGGTTACCCAAATATCTTTCAGGGCTGATCTTGATATGCTGAATTCTCTTTCTCAGCAGATCTCCATTTTGTGACAATTTCAAACTTAAATCTCTGTGATTTCTAATATTTAATAGAGTTTGATTTATAATCAACTCTTTTTTCCTCCCTGTTTTCATTCACAGTGTCCAGAATATCAAAGGTAGTGGAAAAGAAGCATCCAGAAGGTCAGTGCTAATGCTGCTCTTGCACTTGATTGCTATCAGAGAACATAGCAGACAGGTTTTGTAAAAATTTTTTCTTGACAGAGACCATATGCTGGTATGTTTTCTTCATGGGGGCTTTGTGAAGGGCCCCAGTGCTCCTGCTATGCACATATCAGGATGTTTCATAAGGCACTTGCATTCTTTCATTCATGGCTTCAACATGCCTAAGATTAGACTGTAAAATGAGAATAGGCATCAAATATGTGCTTTTACATTAGCTCACTGATCCAAAATACTTTTACCAATCTACAGCCTAGATAAAAAAAACCTCAGAGACAATGTGAAGTGTGACTGTTTAAGGAATAGAAATGTGTTTTATTTTACATTGTGATAGCTTCAATCAGGATATACTGCATTTTGCTGGATATCATACAAGCAAAAAATTCTAAATTTCCACCTCAAAGTGGTTGAGTCTGACTGCAGCCTCTACTTATCTGATGATAATGCCATTTGCTAAAGAAGAGAAATGCCTTTTTTGTGATATACACCTCCATAAATACAGAGTGGTTGCAGCAGAAGGTGTCTCCATACAAAAAGGCACAAACTTGATCTCATATGATGTCTCTCAGATTTAATGCCTTCAGATACCTCACACCAATAACACCACCTTAAACCACTGGGTAAAGATCTTTCCAGGCTGAAATTACTCTGGATTTTGCATGGCAATTCAGTGCAAGCAAAAGACTTTTGGGAGCATAAAAACCCAGAAGATAACTTCAGAACAGCTATTTTAGATAATTAGTATAATGCAGTCTGGGGAGCAGGTTTTGAGGCTTGCTTTTTGTTTGTTTGGTTTTTGTTTTTTTTTTTCATTATATATATATAAATTATATTTCCTAACACCTACTTCTTTTTTTAATGTTATTTTGCCAGCATGTATATTCTATAAAGAGTGTTGAAATTGAATTTACAGTCTTTATTAAGAAATGACTGACTTAACAAACTGATGCAGCTTAAGTGACCCTAGTCTATTTTAAGCAGCACAGAGACTGTTTCTGTTTGCACACCAGTATCCCAAGTAACTCTTTTGTAAAAGGAATATGTATTTGAATTAAAGGCTGAAGTATGACCAGTCAGTAATGTCTGCAGAACAATATTGGAAACCTGTCATTAGTTCTTTAAATTTGAGAAATTTGATTGCCTTTTTCAATTTCCTGTGAGACAAAATATACTTTCCCCATTATGTGTAGGTGACAGCAGACTCATCTGTTAATCATCAATTTCCTCATTAGAAGTTCTCAACTTCTTTTTATACGATTCTTCTAAAATATAATTTCTCTTCAATTGAACGGTAGATTCCTTGAAATAATTACACTTGATAGAATATATTTCTTTTATCCTTCAGAACCTTTGAATCTAGTGTCCCATTTCAACCAAATTTGAGAAGAGGCAAACAGGTAATTTTCCACAAGTTTCATGAATTAAGATGTTTAAAGAGAAGAGGTGCCTTGAGCAGTTTTGATGGAAGGATTGAGTATAACAGCATTCTTTATTGAAAAGCTATCAAAGAAGCCATATTGCTGTTCAAACCTGAGAAGTATATCTGTACGATATTAGATTTAATTTTAAATTACTTGGCATGGGTATTTATTTCAGTGGAATTATTAAAATATTTGAAAGTCAAAATTCCAAATAATATAGAAATGAGAACACTGTAAAATAATATGAAACTGTGGAAAAGTCTCTAGCAAAGATTGTGATGCAAATTTTAAGTTCTGTAATAATTTATGTATTATATTGAACAAGTGTACTATTACTAAAAGGACAGTAGAAATAAAGAGAGATAATGTCGTCAGTGGCTTACAGGGGTGGAAATTTAATGGAAATGAGAAGTGCTGGGTCATAGTTAAAATATGCATTGGTGGAGTATGGGTTCCTGTAATGCTTGCAGATTTTAAATGAATCTGGTGAGTGTTGAAAAAGATATTGCTATATTGCCCTTAATTAATTTATTGGATAAGAAAAAGTTGTCAGTTTTTTTAAAATGTGTTTACCTGCAGAGGAATTTTAAATGCCAGATTTTAGGAGCTCCTTTTACATGGTCTGGAGTCACAAAATTCAATGTAAACATTTTTGTTCTTGGTTTATGAGGATGAGAGTATTGATCCAAGATGGAAATCCTTGTGACAGAGACAGCCAAATTCAGTGAAAGCTGTTGCAGGGACCTGGATATTGCCTGATGTATATGAGGGAACAATACAGAGCAGCTGAAGAGCTCTGTAGCATTGGTGACATACCAGGCATGGTGTAGTGTACTGTGTTTCGCTCTGGGCGAGTCAATGCCCTGAAGGTCTCAACAAGTCAGAGTAACACCAAAATGCAATAAAAAACGTTGTAGAAGTGGAAGAGAGAAAGAAGAAGACTAAACTTGTATCACTTGGCTACATGATAGTCAAAATTCTACAAAGGTACAATAACAATTTATATATACTTGAACAGTGTACAGAAAAGATGAGAGTTACACACTTCAATGAGCAGAGCATAGAATTGAGGATGAAATGAAGAAAAGTTGTATTGATCAGTTCTAGAACTCAGCTCCTGTGATGTTAAATTTCCTTCTTGCAACAATCCCTTCAAGGGAAGAAGAGGAAGCCTTCTACTATGGAAAAACACCAGTAAATGGCTGGAAAAAATACCAGTAAAGGACTGAAAAAACACCAGTTAATGAACAATCCTGCATGGATACCTGGTGGTGTGCTAGGCTGATGGTTTGACTTCATGATCTTAGAAGTATTTTCCAACCATAACAATTCTGTGTTTCTATGATTCTGGGATGTAACTCATGGCAAACTCCTAGTTTAACAACAATATAACCCTGAAAGAGCTAATGTGACCATATTGTTTGACATACTGTGTAGCAGATTGGATATTCTTGAAGCAATTCCTGATTGGATTAGATTTCCTTCTTGTCTATTACATATGGGTGCACCTTTGGTGTTCAGGTTGTTATGCAATTTTTTCTTTTTTCAGTTCTTCACTTGGAATATTCTTTCAGCAGTGAACCAAAGCTAGAAGATAGACAGTTTAAGAGCATGTTGTGAGTCCTGTACTTGTGAGGGAGGAAAGGGAGGGGGAGCATAAAAGTTTGGAAAATTATCTATTCCATCTGTATTTTCTTTCTACTTGTTTACTCTCTACATATGGTTTGTTTTGCTGCTGAACATGTAAGAAAAATCTTAATGTATTTGTGTCATAGGAGTAGTGGAAGATGTGTATTCTCTCACTACTGGAGAGAAGATGAGAAGATGTTTAAAGGAATTCTATGCATCTTGAATACATTTTCAGAATGAAAAATGAAAATTAAGGAAAAATATTTCTGTGTAGTCAAAGAAAAGAAGGAATTTAATGAAAATTCCCTGTTGACAAGCTCTTACCCAAGCAATAATAGCTAGCAGTAGGTGGAGGTTTTTAAAAACCTTTTAAGATGTTTGTGAACTGTCCAATCTATAAACTTATATATTTTTAACCATTTTTATCTCATGCCAGTTTACTGGTAGTGCACACCTGTGGCTCCTGTTTCAAAATAGGCTTTGCCATGGAATACAGGCATGAAGATGCAGGGCCCTGCAGTAATACTTACAAGTAGACTGTCAGTGCTGAGGTCTGACTGAGGGGTTCTCTAAAGTTCAGGAGAAATTTTCAAAAAAAGGGTTTCAGGATTGAAAACAGAGATGATAAATTATTTTAAGTAAAGGCTCCAAACATCATGTGTTTGTGCAGAATCCAGCATGATATTGCCTTGGTTATGTCTACAAGCCTTGACTATGTGACAATTCCAGGTAGCATTATTTTATTTATAAACTATATATTTTTCCCCTTCTTGCCATTAACATGTTTTATCTTTCCTCAACCTAGCTGAAGTTTGTTTTCCATTTTATGAATATTTATCTTCCTATCTCTCATTTATTAATTTGGAAAAGAAAAATATAATTTTACAGAGTTAAATAAACAATAGACCCTGGTTTTAAACCAACAAAGTCAAAATACTCAGTATTCCAGGGTTGAACCCAACAATTCATCCTCTGTGGCTCCCAGGACTTACACCAGCTTTAAAATAAATGAGCACAGTCCCAAATACCGAGGCTGACTTGTTATCTCTATATGTACTTTACAGATAACAGACATTAAATAATTCACTATACAAAGTCTTATTTCAATTAAAATGGTAAAACTGATAAAGAAGTTTTCTTTACTTTTGGGAACATATCTCTGGCTTGTAATTGCATTAATTACAAATACACACAGTTGAAAAGTTATTCAAATGCAAATTTTCTTAATGAGAAGAAAGCAACTGGGAGTATAATTTTTGGTTGTTGCAGTTAATGAAAGTATTTGATTTTGTTTTAATTGCACTTTTAATAAAATAAAGTGCTCTCACAGTGATGAGGTTTCACTAATACAGCATCATCTAAGCTTCTGAAGGTTGCTGATGGTGGTTAGATCAGCTGGCACTGGGCTCTTGCTGGAGATAAGTGAGGCAAACAACCCTTGCTCCTGGGCAGTGCTGATCTCTGGCTAACAGCAGTGTGCTGAAGAATGACACCAGAATGACCCTAAAGGTTCTCTGATATTTTATCTAACACTGGTAAGGAATTGCAATAACTTCTTTTCAAAAGGATTGATGTCAAAGTGTATTTACCTCCTTCCCCAAACATCCTTCCCTCAATATACTCTAAATTGTTATTAAAAATAACCAAGTATATAGATATTAATGGGTTACCTTTCAGTCTTGCACGTGAGATGATGTCTATGAGGAAGAGCAACCATCTGGGGAAACTGGAAGCAACAGCCTGGTGGCTCAGTGACCATATCCTGCCCTTCTTCACATTTCAGTCTGGGAATGTTGGGGAAAAAAAGGATGGCAAATCCCATCACTGAGTGAGCCTCCTGGTACCCATGAGTATCTGTATCCAAACCTCAGGGGTTATATTTCCTCAGCTGTGATTTCTGAATGCC